GTGTACAAAAAAGTTAACGGTGCCGTGAAATTGTTGCCGCAGGTGTTTTTAAAAAATCTTTCTTTCGTTTGAGCGACGGTGTTAACATAGCGCAATGTATACGCTCGCAAACGATGCATATACATGCGTGTCACAGATCCATCGTGCTGTGGTAGCCTTTATAGCTCTCTCTTGCTCCCAGGCACGGCTCAATGCACTCAGGTGTGAATGAGATGACTCGGAGCCCGAGGGTTGGGCTGGCCTTTTTCTCTGGTTTGTCATGGCATTTGTTTATTTATTTGGTTTTAAATGCGCATATTTAAAGAAAAAATGTCACACATTAATTTATAATGTCCTACCGCATTTGAGCAAACAGGGAGGGGAGCCTGATAGGATTTCCTGTGCGGGTGATGGGATGAGTGATGGGATGAGCGGGGGAATGCATTGCGAATGCATCCACCGTAATGTGTGTGAAGGGAAGAGGTCCTTGGGGAGGAGCTGGAATAATACATAACGCCCACTGTGGTCATAACAATAAATGACCGGTATATGATTTAAACTCGATACAAAAATGTTTTGGAATTGGACTTTTCAAAATATTTTGGTTTGGTGTTATCCTGACCTGAAAACCTCAACAATAATACTAACCCCTTATTTGTAATCATAGCCCTACCCGTAACACTGGCGCTGTCTCAACTTTGCACAATAAACGCGCCTTAACCCATTCCATACACCAATGGTAAGACCAATCCTAGCCCCATCCATACGTCTAACCCTAAGCCTTACTGGATGCCAGAGGACCCAATTCACATAGCTGCCATATTCTGGCTATCATTATGCCACTTTTTAGTGGAATGAAGGCCATTTTCTAAAAAAAAAAAAAACCTCGACTCACACGGTGATTATTGTCATCATTTAGCATTACCATTATTTTAATTTACCACTAGAACTGCTGTCATCGTGGTAATCACCGCTAAGGCGTCTTTTTATGAGTGCATCCATTCTGCACCTCGGTGGATGATGGAGCACGTTGTATAGACACGTTAGGTTGCTCTGTCTATTCCTGTGTGATGAGACAATCCAGAGCCCGATTGGTTGGCCCGGTCCATTGGTGGGACGAGCGTGCTGATGTCATCATATTAATATAGCCTCACAATTCTGGTCAGTCCCTCCTCCCAGATGCCAACTGTTCGATTTGATGTTTTTGTATTTTTGCGGAATGGGGCTCCACCACCCCTTCTGCACCACGGCGAATCGTTTCACAAACTGCAACGTGAATTAGACGAAATTGTTTTTATATTCTTGGTTCTTTCCATAAAGTCACGTAGAAGGGAAAAAAATGTAATAATACAAATATAAAAGAATAAAATTCTCACGACGTTTCGACTGCAACACAAGCAATCGTCATCAGGTGTGAAAAAAACACAGCAGGAACATTAGAAAAAAATCGGATTTTTAAACGTTAAAAAAACCCGCCACTTTTTTCAGTCACGAAAGCTTTAAATCGAAATTGTTTTCGTTTAATGTCGGGCCCACCAAAATCTAAAAGTTATTTTATTATATTTCTAGGTCAGGGTTTTGCATTTTTTTCCCTCCATCCCCGCCCTCATTGGGAATATCAGCAGGATCCACACACAGCTTGCTCTCTCAATCCCATGGGCCACCCCACGCTTGGACCCACTCACCTCTCGCTGACCGCCAGCCACTGCATATCGACTTGTCAATCTGGGGCCGCGGGTGACATTCCGGATAGAATGCTGTTCAAAATACGGCATAGTAATTTCAACGGCACCTCAAAAATACAGTACATAATGCCCTGCGTTATTCATGTTTTCAAATCTTTTGCGGTTCATTAAGTTTTAAGGAATACCGGGAGAGAACTGAATAGGAACGGTTATTATTTCAAAAACAATGGTCAATCTGGAAAGTTTTGGATTCGGCCTTTAACACTCGCAATTGTCTAGTTCTGTCCGTGGATGCTGGCAGGGTGTTTATCATGCAATATACGCTTTACATTTTATTGGAAATTGCTAAACATCCCAGTGCAAGACCCTCCGCAAAATGAGCCTCGAGTCTCTGCGAGGCTTTCCTGCATAAAATAAACACAACACAGGTTCGAATGACATCCCACACCAACACTGCCGACAGCCTTTTGAGATAAAAGTAAAGAATCCAAATAGCACCCATAATAGAGGTTGTTTTGGGTTATATATCAATGTTGTGTCGTTAAAGCCGCCACCACCCGACACAGCCAACTACTAAGGGTTGGCACGTGAACAGAACATGCCAATTCTTCACTAGTACATTGTAAATGTTGTCGCTTGGCTCTCCACCACACCGGTGTGCTGTACTAGTGACGAATTGGCATGTTCTGTTCACGTGACAACCCTTACTAGTTGGCTGTGTCGGGTGGTGGTGGCTTTAACGACACATTTATATATTTACGCGATCTAACCCAAAACAACCTCTATTATGAATGATATTGGTCGCGAAAGCCTACGTGTTAAACCAATCAAAATAGCGTCAAGATGATGCCAATGAAGATATAGTTCAATGGATGGTTCAGGGAATTGAACAAATAACTTCACACAATCTGGCTTCGGTGGCAAACGCGCTGACCAACTATATTATCTGAAATATGACAAATTAAACAAATAGCCAGCAGAGTGAATTCGCTGAAGCAGTAACATTGCACATGCCGCATATAATGACAACATGATTTTTTCATACTATAGGATACCTATAATGGCATTTTGCACACATAAATTGGCCCATTCCATTTCTCTGCTTCATAAGCCATTCATAAACCAGCCAGATGTGCTGGGGTAATGGGAGATATTGGCCTCTATCTGTAATTTGTAATGCCTGCTTGTGGTACAATCCTCTGCGTCGGCAGAACATGTTGCCACTACGAGTAAATCTTTCAGAATTGCTTGCTGGATAATAAGTGCGGCCACACAGACGCATCCCCATCCTATACGGCGCTGCCCGTCCAACTTGCTTCCTTGCTATGTGACGCTTCCCAGCTATGAGGTTGAAAGCCTTAATGTATTAACTCTGTCCGTCTGTATGTCTGCGTGTAAAATGGGATTGCGGTAATGCGCATTAAGGTAATCGAACGTAAATTTAAATGTTACTGTAAAAGTTGTCTTATCCTAGTAAGACATAGATTAAGCCATCACCACCGGTTGAACAGTTGCTTCGTGCAAGTTCAATTTAAAATTACAGCCAGAGCTGTCCGAGGCTGAGTTGCAGAAAGTATTGCCCCCCCCCCCCCCTACTCGCTGTCAGATGTGAGAGTGGGGCTTGGGGAGTTGGGGGCCCCAGAAATAATTCCCTGAGAAACGAAAGTCTGGTGACTCGGATTAAACGGCAGGTAGAGTTGTGTAGTAGAAACAGTATATATATATATTTTAGTGCTCAATAAGCTCAATAAAGACACACGCGCACACAGCTATGTGTGTGTGTACACAATACAACGTTGCAATCCGATTCACTGGAGTCTGAAGCATAGGCGGATGTGTGAACGTCTACAGCAAATGACCGTGACACAAACCGTGCACAAGTAAGTTACTGGACAGGTATAAAGCGCACACGACTCTGATCGTGGGGCCACGTTCGCGAGTTAAACAATGCATTCGCTGCGTGTGAAACGGTCGACTTTCTGAAGGGCTATAGCAAATGACGGCTTAAACCGTGCACACAACTGCACTGGGTTTGGCCGGTTAATTGATCAGGGCGGATATACAATGTCCTGTATGTATATATATGTTTTTTTTTAATTCACAAAGAGCTCAATCTCACTCAATGCACAGTGCGCACGCACGTGTATGTTCCATTGCAATGTCCATATGAAGTTGCGTCTTCCGCTCCACGTTAATGTGATGAAGGAAGGACGGCCATTGGCCAGCGCTGATTAAGAGTGTCGGTCTACAATCCCGGTTGGGGATTCACTCAGCCCATTATCCCCCCGAGGTCAATTAAATGTATATATACCACTCATTTGAGCAGCAAATCACCTCGGCTTGATAATTGTCAAACATATATTTAAATCAACGTAACCCTCATATTACTTTGCACCTTCCGATTAGCGTGGTTGGCTACGCAAGGTGCGAAAAAAGTTCGACGTACGTGAATACTTTGCAGTGACGCAAGGCAGAAAACGCAAACACCTCGTCATGCACGTGGCGTGCGTGGTTGGGACAGAGAGTTTCCTGCATTACTGCATAGTAAGAATGCATAGCCCTTTGCCAATATACTGCTGGACGGAAGGCCTCCCCACGCCGTGTGGGGTCCTGGGTGGTTGTTTAGTTATACTTCACCACCCTGGTCAGCACTTTGGTCTTGGGGCGAAGGAGGGGGGAGTGTGTGGCGACCCAGGACGGGGTTCAGATATCACCGATGTTAGCGGTGAGCGGGAATTGAACTCGGTTGGACGCGCTCAGCTGGTGTGCGGGAGCCGTCCCGTGGATTAATATGCAGAGATGGCGATGGCTTTGGGTTGAGGGGCGTGCCATCCAGCAGTGAATTGACCATGGCTGATGGTGAGGATTATGATGATGATGAAACACGTTCATAACGCAGTGCGCTAACCACTCTGCCACCGCTTTATCTATCTCTTATAATATTGACCGATTCCCAAAAACTATATAATAATCACAAATTAAACATCGCAGCAGCGCCTTTCTCACTAAACAGGCGTCGCCGTGGGTGACGCGTGAAAGCGGGCAACCCCGGCAGCCGAGCAGGAACGAGCAGGAACGAGGAGGCGGAAGCCCCGACAGCCTCTCGCTCCTCGCCATTGATCGGCTTTTCGATTTCAATCCTCGAGCGATCGATATGGAAGCAGCCGTCCTGCGGGACCCGCAATAACGGGCTAATGAATTACGCGCCGCTGCCATAAACCACCCCGTGGGTGCAGAGAGGAGGGCGGATGAGCGGTTGCGGGAGGGAGTGGGCGAGCCGGTGTACGGGATATCGGTGGGGGTGCGGGAAGGGTTTGGGGAATTGTGTTGAGGGGGGTAAAGAGGGGGGGGGGCAGAGCGCACACTCGATTTGATCGATAAAGTGCGAACGTCCTCGTTCTCATGCTCGTCCGCACTTGGGAGCACCTGAACCCCGCTTGCGCGAGCGTTCGCTGCTCGTTTTCAATAGTGTCCTCCTGTACCCTCCTCCTCACCCCCAACCTCCATCATCCATGCGTCCAGCACTCCCACTCCCACCTCCGCCGTTCTATTCCCAGCACCACCATCACCATCGCTACCACCATCATTATTATTATCATCACCACCACCACTACGCTCCTCTCGCCGAAATGAAGTCGGCGGAGTGCCCGTGATCTCGCGTCTCGCGTGTATCGAGCAACCGCGTCGAGTGGAGGAGGCGAGCGCGACGCACGGCGCACCACGGCCATGCGTTTACTGCAGATGCGCATCGTGGCGTTTCTGGCGGTGATGCTCTCCCTGCCCGGTGAGTGCCATGTAGCAGTAGCAGCAGCAGCAGCTATCGAATACAATGCACACACAGACTCGCGCACATATTCACACGCGAACACGATGAGCGCCGCTGGCCCATGGAGAACCACGCTTGCGCTCCGTTTAATTTTGTTTTTAATTCGCCGATCGGGTTTTTATTTGTTATTTAAATTACGAAGCCTGCACACGGAAGCGCGTTCTACGGCGCGCGCGCGCGCACGCACGCACACAGAGACACGCAGACACAAAGACAAATTACACAGCGCGCGTGCTCGTGCGTGGCTTCGTGCGTGGGTGCGCTCGCGCCGTAGAAAGACCTCGCAGCCAGCAGCCAGCGACGGCGGCTGCAGCTCGCCACGCCGTATTATCGCGTTTCCCCGTGTCTGTGCGTGGTCTTGGAAGGCTCAAAGTCGGCGAGCGCCTCTCTCTCTCTCTCTCTGTCGCGGGTTCGAAGCCGTAACTCCCCCGAGCCGCGAACGTCGGATCGTCCGCGGGGGGCTCTGCGCTTCTCCGCTGCCGATCGCAGACCGCGCCGCGCAGGGAGAGCGCAACCACCGATTATGGGGCGCGTCATTTTACCCGTCAACAGGGAGTGCGACCCCCAATCTTCCGCCGCATTAATATGCAAATCGCAACGCGTGGACATGCCTGCCACGCGAGCCATTCTAATCGCACGTCCGTCATCCGAGGCGGCGCGCACTCGAGCCGGAACAACTGGGCATCGAACCGGGACAACGTGGTGGGGGGGAGGGGGGGGGTGGTCGCACGGCATCGCGGCCGACAGATGTCCGTCCGCGCTTTCAATCACACCGGGCCGATGTCTCCCGAACACATTAAATAAGGGGAGGGATTTTTTTTTATTGCCGAACCTCCCCGTAATTGCGGCTTTAATTGTCGAGCGCGACACGCGCTGCGAGAACGGGGACAGAGGGGAGCTTGGCGCGGGTTTAGTCGGCGCATTTATTTGTTTTGTTCACTGCGCGTGTGCGCGTGCGCGCGCGTGCCATTGTGGTGTCCTCGTGTTTTGGCTGTCGCGTTATCGCGCATTCGCACGCGCCCTGAATCACGTTTCACTCGACGGCGAGACCCCCGCGATTAATACATCATCATCACCATCATCATCACCATCATCATCATCATCATCACGAGCACCGTCGTCGTGATCGCCACTCTTTTGTTTGCTCGGTGTTTGCAGAATGTCGGCAGAGAATTGTGGGAACGCCGCTGTCGGGCTTTATACGACGGCGATTTAGGTCGCCGTGAATTTTGCTCGGGTGGAGCAAAGAAAAATGAATAAATGCGCCCGAGTGTTTCACTTGTTTACGGGCGTCACGCGTGGCGAGATGTTAACTACCTCGCTTGGTACGCGGGTGGTCGTGGGCCCAACCCTGAAACTCTGACGATGACTGTATATTTGGAGTTTGCACGTTTGCCCTGTGGTCGTGTGGAATTTTCCGTGGGCTCTCTTGGTTTTTCCCCTCCCCCTCCACATTTAGAATCAACGTGCGTTTAGAGCAGTGGTGCTTAACCTTTACCATAGCCTTGCATCCCTATGTGAAGACATACATTGGTTTGATGACACAAAGTAGTTGTGCTTACGTACCCGTGCTTAATTTGTATTTCGATGATTTGCCGTCGAAATAAATCCGGCCGCGTCTCGCACCCCCCAGGTTAAGAACCATTGGTTTAGAGTATTTGTCTGCTATACATTTCCACATATCGATAATCCACTTCGCGTGTGGTTAAGTCACTTCTGAAAAAAAGTAAAGAGCTACCTAGCTCAGTGGGCGTGTTTGCCGAGTTGACAACACAATGGAGACAGCCGAAGGAGAGCGACAGACCACGAGAGAGCAGCAACAACAACAACAGCAGCAACAACAACAACAGCAACAACAACAGCAACAACAACAACAAAGGACCGTCGCACGTCGAGCTGCCCCGCGAGTTGTTTTTTTTGTTCCCCGAGATGCGCGCCACTAACCTCGCCTCTCGCGCGACGTGACCCCCCCCCCCCCCTCTCTCCCCTCTTCGTGTCATCGCGTTAACAAAGGGCGCTCGGTGAAGGAGGGCCACCCGGAGCGCAGATGGAGACACCTCAAGCGTAAATCAGCCACGTGGGGGGGGGGGGGGGGGCTTTGGGGGGGGACTTCTCATCAGCAGACGGGAGGCTATGTCTTGCAGAACGGCGCGCGCATCTTGCGATTTGCGGAAGCATAATATACGCGCAACTCCGTTCTCGATGTATGTTGAACTTCTTTCGCACCGTACGTAGCCAACCGTGCAAATCTAAGGTGCTGGCGAAGGACAGCAAACAACACATCTCCACATACAGTATGCACAACAGTGATAATTTAAATATGTGTTTGAAATCCATTAGTCTAAATTGGCTTTCCGAGCCAATATTATTGTCAAGCAGCATTTCTTCACACTAGCAAGCTCTTGGACCAGTATTGCACTTTCTGGGTCTCATCAACAGTATCGTGATTGTTTAACAATTGTTGCCGGGTAGCCAGATGTTATTGGACTAAGCACTTCATCTAGACAATGGGGGTAATGCTCAATGCCACATTCAACAAGGCTTGCCGAGACACTCCCCACCTCCTCTGCCTCCCCGGTGCTTGACAGGTTGCACATGTTGTGTTTAAAATGTCTGATCATTACAGTAATGTTCTTTATTTACTCAGGTAAGTCTCTTCTGGGGGTGGAGCGGTGGCGCAGCGGTTACCACAATTTACTGTGAACCTAGGGAACTCGGGAGGATTCCCAACCAATGCTAACGTGCATGAGTAGAGAGTGATATTTGAACCAGTTTTGGGCCTTTGCCCCCTTCATTAAACCGCACTGACCATTGTGGTGAAGTATGGTGAAACAACTCCAATGACCTACATGGCATTGGTGGGGAAGCTTGATCCAGCATTGGATTGGCAAACACACTGTAAACGAAGCCTTACTTAGACTCAAGGCTCTTTTTTCAGGAGGACTCTGAATTTAGATGTTGGCACAATTTCATTCATGCCGCGTGCGACGAGACTGGAATAACCCAAAGGAATCCCAAAGTGATACGAAAGGATTATGACAAAAAAATCCGCACAGATAGATTCAAGCATTAATTTCTGTACTGCCACTCTGACCACCTATCAGTGAGCGAGGCTGTGATGTATTATCAACCATGTTACAACATTTCTATAGTTTTGATTTAAAGCTTTCGTGACTGCAGGGATTCATATTCTTGATTCCACAGCAAAAAAAAATGTTCTTGCTGTGGTTCTCACACCTGATGATGATTGCTTGTGATGCAATCAAAACGTCGTGAGGATTTTATTGTTTTATATTTTTTTTATTTTATTGTTTCCCTTCTACGTGACTTTACCGAAAGAACCAATAATATATTTCAATAGTTGCTTGCTAACAAACTGGACGCTAACTACTGGACATTTGTAAAAAAAAAGAGCTTCATAGCTCATCGGATTTCGCAAGGATAAATACAGATTCCGTACAGTATTATGTAGTCTAGAATGCTTTAGGCGAGGTGTGTGTGCGAGAGAGAGAAGTGTAGTCGAAAGGGTGTTATTTTGCCTTATTTTCTTATCCAAAAACGTTCACAAGGCTGAGATGGCTGACATGAAAGGGTGCAAAGGAGGACCCTTTTTTGCCTGCGTAATTGTCGGCCAAGGGCCTTGTTGGAAGGAAGGACTTGCGGTGAAAAGTTATAAAATGAAAAATAAGATGAGCGCATGAAACCAAACAAGAATGGTATGAATTATTAATGATGGCGATGTTGTAGAAAGAGAACAGAACTTGGAGGCGGCCATGCGTGAAGGCAGGAAGAGCATGGAGAGATGCGTCCCAACACTCGCGAATACCGAGCGATTCGAGATGAATTAATAAAATATTTCACAGGAGATATTTTTGCATTTGTTCCCTTAACGTTATACTTGACACTTGATGATGGTGGTGATGGTGATCAAGGCTAATGTGTTTGGTTAGTCGTGTACATTGTTCGTAAATATTTCACACGCTCTATTGCGTCAAAGTTATTTGTATTTGCTTTGCAATTTTTGTAACGGCTACGGGTTTTCTCGTAAATATATCGCACGCATGGCCACAGATGGCGCCTTATCTCCAAACCCAAGAACATAAAACACATATACGACGTTTACCATCGCAAGAGCAATGACAGATGGCATCTTACCCTGTTCAGAAGCTTCGTTACATTCGGAAAGAAACATTAATCACAGCTCTATGCGCGCAACTCCCCCCCACCCACCCCCTTGGGAAAATCAGCCGAGTCGATGCGTTTCGGCGGTCGTTGAGTTTGTCAATACGAGAACCTGGCCCCAGCACGTGATGCGAGCGTGCCTGCATCGCATATCTCGCTATGTCCAAGCACCGTTGTCAACCCACTGCTGGATGACGGGCTGCTCATTGCCTCAGCGGTGTCGGGTGCAATTGACGGTTCCGGGAGATCGGTATTTAATGTCCTCTGTGGCGTTGCGCGCTTGCCAGTTAGCGTTCCGTCTCGTTAATGTCCCTTAATTGGTTTCCTGCATCCCCTGCAGGCTCTTCCCACTGCACTGTGAGGGAGGGGTGGGGGGGAGTCGCCAAGGGGGAGGGAAAAGGGGGGGATAAAAAAAATCACAGGACCTCCGGTGCCTAATGAGAGCCCATGGCTGTCACGTGCACAGGGGCAGCTGCCGGGTCGATGCTTAGAGATTTAGACGTCATTTGGTGCAGAGGAGTCAAGCCGCCTCGCTCCAGCAATCGGATCGCGAGGCCGGCTCGTTACGAGGCACGGCAAATGCCTTTTGAAAAATCGCGAGCCGCCTCATTGATTTAGCATAGGACGGGCGCAGACGCGTTATGTAATTGCCTACTATAATACAGAGACTCATAGCGCAGCAGGTGGGTGTAATTTACATCAATCATTACCGGACGTAATATCATATTGCATTAAGCAGGCAATCTAATGTAGGCAGCCTGTGCGCAACATCGCCGTCCGCATGCCCTCCGCATGCATCGCCCTCTCTCTCTCTCAATAAGATCTATTTTCTCTTTCGGATCTCATTTGTTAGCCGTGGTATTTTTTTTTCTTCTCCCAGGATCCGATTAGGTGGAGTTGATATTGCTTTTTTTTTGCTCTAAAACGTGTTATTGATTTTTTTGCTTGGAGGAAAAGGTTTAGATTTTATGTTTCTCACTTTCCCTCTCATTCTCTCGCTCCAACCGGAGAATTTCCAATGTTGCAGATCAAAGCTGAACCCAGGCTAACTTTGTTCCGCTTAGCTTTGACCCCGCTAGCAATACCATTCTGGTCAATTGTCGCGTAACCCTGTAGGTTTCTTGGCACCGCGTGAAATGACATTACGTGGATTTGAGAGCCCGGTCGAGTCTGAATGAGACTGAAGTTCAACAACAGGGAGCGAGATCTGTGAGCTGTGATGGGCGATTGCGTTCAGAATTTTACACTCGAACTCCTTAGGGTTCCCGCCCAAGTGTCTGGCTCTAGGCCAGCTGTGATAATGCACTCTGAAGGCGAGGCTTGCTGGATCAGATGTTAAGCTATCGTAGTGGTTCAAACCTGGTTGATGCAATGGGTAAGTCGTTACGGTTAGCCTGACCCGCTCATAATTACAACCTGGTCAACCGTTTGAGCGAGGTTGGTGGATTCCTTTGGATCATTTCAATAGTCGGCATTTTCTCCCACACGCCAAAGCACTGAAGAGCGGAATTCGGCCGAACATCAGAATGTGGGTTACTCCTGAAAAAGAGTATTGGGACTCGGTGAAGCTTTCCAGGCTAAAAAGAAAGCATTATTCCTGTGATATGATGCACGTTGCCCCGGATGAAACTGCACACGCAGCAGACACGTCCATTCTCCGCCACCGCGAACATTCACCTGTCCGACTGAGTTTTATTTGGCACGGTGGATGAAACGCAATTTTGTCAGTAAATATTTTTATATATATATACAGGCCCCCCCTCCCCCTCCCTCCCCCCTGTGTGCGCGTACGCGCGCGCGCGTTTGGACAGTTCAATAAACTGCCCAGCCAAGTCTCATTTCGCACGTTGACGAAATGTGGCCGTGGCAAGGACGTCAGCTCCCGCCGCAGGTGTGTACAGCGGCTCCACCTTTCGCCGCAGCCATTTCCCCGACGACGATCGAGCGGGGATCGAGCGACGCGACATTTGTGTCGCGGGAAGGCCCTGGGCCGCTGCGGTGCTTCGTGGGCGATGGCTCACGAAGCGCGTGCGATGATGATGATGATGATAAGGGGTGGGGGGGTGTGAGGAGGTGACTTCGGTTGTTGCTCGTGACGGCGATCGTGTGAAGAGTATTTTCACAACTTTGGGGCATGGATCGCTGAACATAGTTTCACCAAAGGTCACTTGAAATCCACGACTTATTTTCTAACTTTCTTTTTTTCTCCCGACAACTGTTGGGTTGCATTTCTCACGTATCTGTGGTTTCGACTGTGATTTTAGTCGGCACGTTGCAGGGAGCATATTTAGTTCCTGATTAAGCTCCCAGCACCTGAAATGAAACGTCGGACAATCGCGAAAACCTAAACAGGAGTGTAATGCATGTCTTTATCGTCTAGGAGCTTTTTTGAGGTCGTTTGAGCAGACAGTTGTACCTGGATCATTCAATCAACCAATTAATCAATCTTTATTTTGTATGGCACCTATCACGAAATGATCGCTCTCAAATAGATTTCTGTACGAAAAAAAAATCTAAATTTAAAAATGAATAATAAAAATTTGTCCGCAGTTTCATCAGGAAGACTAACCACAAACAGTCAGTAAGTATAACATAACAACACTGCAGGAAGTGAAATGATACAAAGAAATAATAACAACAACGCAGATATGAGCATGCGAATGCTGCATCATACAACTACGTTCATAATCTTATTTGAATAAAAGCAACAGAGGGAGCCTCCTTTACTGATCGTGTGGAGATAATTGTATAATTTCGGTGCTCTCCATTTAAATATCCTGCCACCTGGATTATTTTCTCTGCACCCTTGCGGCACTGTGCAAGGTTGCATCCTGTAACCAAAGAAACACATAGCAGCATCATCATCATCAGCCATGATCAAGCCACTGCTGGATGGGGGCCTCCCAAAGTGGCATTGATACAGTGATCCACAAAAAAACCTGCACTTGAATTGATGTGCGCGCATATACACACACACACGCCTTTGAGAATGCATTTGTTTCTGCGTGACATTTATTGAAATAGTATGACTTTTTAATTACAATTACTGCAATTGTACTTGGATTGGCAATGCATATTGTATGTTGAAAATGCCCTCTGAAAATGTTGCATTATTAGCTGACATGAGCGGGTAGTTTCAAACGGAATTGGTGAGAGCCAGTGGTGTAGTGATGTGGCCATGCTGGGCTGCCATCACACACACCGGACAAATCCCCCTTGGGAAGCTGCATAGGATTTATGAGTCCATCTGTTGGAGGAACCTCTGGTGAAGCCAACTGGCTCCACACCGAAAGGTAAATTGTCGAATAAAAAGCCGAGATCCTGATATGTGTGTAATGGGCAGCGCACTGAGCTATGTAGCTCTTTTTTCAGAAGCGACCTGGCCACAAATGATAGCTCATCGAAGTAGCTTATAATGTGAAAAATTATAGCAGCCAAATACTCTAAAACGCACGTTTCTAAATGTGGATTTGCAAAATTAAACATTTTCAGATTGTCAAAGCTGCCACTGGCTCATGAAGCAGAGTTAAAGTTTTTCATCGTGCCCACAAAGCGTTTTTCCATGTGAACTTGGAATTTATAAATATTCAGATAATTTAATTGGGAAGTGTGGTGGGCACAGTGATTCGTGCACCGTGCGATGAACCTGGGGAGTCTGAGTCGATCCCGTCCATCGTTAACGTCAGTAGCGAGCAATATAAGAACCGATCTCAGCAACCCCCACACCCGACATCTCTCTTCCTCACCAACTTACACCGACCAGCGTGGCGCAGTGTGGTCAAATATCCCCAATGGCCTATAGAGTGTCGTGTGTATCGAGTGTGGAGAGGCCTTCATCCAGACATTTTAGAACATGAATAGCATGTCAGAGTAGGCCAAACTCTCCGATAGAGGACATCTCTCGATCACCCTCTCTATGTAAGAGGCCCTTCCGCTCAGCAGTCACGTGAGCGAGCAACCACTGCATGGATGGCTGCACCTTTACTTCTTTCACACAACAACAACAACAAACATGTGTCCACTATTCCGGACCACGCAGCCCAAGTGCCGTCGCTATCCCTGGCCGAGCTGGAGGACCGGCTGCTCAAGAGGATGCTGAAGGACTACCAGAAGTGGGTGCGCCCTGTGGACAAGCTCAGCGACACGGTGGAGGTCAAGTTTGGCCTCGGCATTGCCCAGCTGGTGGATGTGGTGAGCCATCCGGAAATTGTAATTCGACGGCAGATCAAAACTGTTGTCGTTGAAACAAGAGCAGCATATGGCGTATGTACCCTACGGCTGTTTACTGTTGTTTTTTTTTTTAAAGATTGTAACGCTTGGGTAAACAAAACAGACAGCATTTGCAACAATCACAGCTCAGGTGTCCGCAAAACGCCTGGGATTCTCTCAAATCTCGATAATGCGCGTGTCGCCAACCTCGGTAGCACGGCTGGCGGAGGTTCAGAGGGACGAACGCCATTATATACATATTGAAACGTGCAAGTCCACGTGTTCGTTTATAGTTGCCTCGATCTGACTTAAATGGATGTTTCATTATAAGTCTTTGATAACGATGGCACCCTGAAGGGCACTGTGTAAAGCTTGTCCTGTGTTTATTTTATTTTCAGGATGAAAAAAATCAGCTCATGACCACAAACGTCTGGCTGAAGCAGGTACTCCGGCACCGCAGTTTGACAGCGTTCGGTATAAATGTGGTCAACGGGGAGATTGCAATATCTGTGCGTGCCCACACATTGAATTGTGCTGCTGCTGCTGGTGGTGCCACCACCACCTCTGATGCTGCTCCTGCAAATGAATCCCTAAACTGTCCGTGGACGCGTAACCGTTGCGTGTTTTGGCAGGAGTGGGTGGATATTAATCTCAGATGGAATCCTGACGACTACGGTGGGATTAACTCAATCCGTGTTCCCGCGAGCTCGATATGGCTTCCCGACATAGTGCTCTACGACAAGTGAGTGCGTGCGAGTGTGTGGTTTTATTTGCATTGCGGCGTTTACATAACCGCGTGAAACGCGACTTCAAGGCGAACGCATTTCAACGTCGGCCTTACATTTTTTTTTTAGTGGCCCGCGGCAGTTGCCACACGCGTGCGTTGAAGGCCACAAGCCAGCCACGTGGCTGGCTGTCTGCCTGTCTGCGCGTCGTTCTGTCGTGTCCCGGGGGGGCGGGGGGAGTGGTTGGGGGGGAGCATGTTCGCGAGACTGCTAAAGTAAAATGACGTTGATGTGTTGCCGTCCGGGTGGTGTATCATCGTCGCCAGTCATCGTGCACTTTATCTGTTGCGCCACTGTGAAGCGTGGAGTGGATACGATTGTTGTTGGTGTCGTCGTCGTTGTTGATGTTTAAATATTTGAGCTTACAAACATGGAGCGCTTGCTTTTCATGCGTGCTCTTTGCACGTTTTAACGCGTGGACTATGACGACTCATGCCCCCCTCACTAGAGCCACTTCGCCACAGCTGCTCACGTGTTTGATTCACATTCGCTTTGGCCAACGGCTCCATTGAAAACGCTACTTTGGTATCTCGTTGGGTTTTTGTTTACGTGTCTGTGTACATATATAGCAGGACAATCTGTCTCTCTTATTTACAAAATGTTACCAGAATGTAATTGCATTTGTTTATAATTAATGGAAGAGGGTGCTCTTATGTAATTACGAATGTAATTGTATTTTTTTCTTCCAATTGGATTTCTCGGGAAATAAAGAAAGAAACACATCAAAACCATTTAGACTCTGCATGCTTATGCAGCAATTTCTATGTTTTAAAAAAACAGTGACGTCAACTTTCATAACGCATTAAATTCATGGCATTTGCACAATACATATGCCAAGGACTTGCAATGCAGGATAAACACACAAACAAACAAACATATCCATCTAATGCAGGAAACATCTTTAAGTGACATCGATACGATGGGACCTTGACAACATTTTTGTTTAATTACAATTCGTTGTAAAGTTTTGCCAGTGTGGTATGGCCTTGAACAGCGCTTAGATTATAACCAGCCTGCTGTCTGGAATGTATTATGTTGCACGGCACACATACACAAAAAGACAAAGATCCCCCGTTTAGCCTTAATAGACTGTTGGGGCAAATGCTGTTAGCGATCACCTATGAAGGCCGGCACTGAACACGAGGGGGTGGGTGTCCAACACCACGCCCGGCTGCCTTTGTCTCCCCAGTGGAGATGTTTACACACCGCACCAGGTACTCATGTTGAGGCTGAGTCGACCTAGGGGAGGCCCAGGACAGGTTCAGATAATCGTCACTGGCGTTGGCAATGAGCGGGAATCGAACTTGGGTCGCCGGGATCGTAGCTTAGCGCGCTAACCACTACGCTATTGCTCCACCCACATACCGAAAAACAAAGACAAATATCCCCCATATAGCCTTAAATAGATTGTTGGAGCAAATGCTGTTAGCGAGCATCTATGAAGGCCCAAACGGCACACGAGGGGGTGGGTGGCCACCATAACGCCCGACCGCCTTTGTCTCCCCCAATGGCGATGTTTTTACACATCGCACCAGCTACACCAAAGACAAAGATCCCACGTATAGCCTTAACAGACTGTTGGGGCAAGTGCTGTTAGCGAGCACCTGTGAAAGACCGAACGGCACACGAGAGGGGGGTGGGTGTCCAGCACCACGCACGCGCACGCCCGCGTTCGTTAATGTCACTCGGGCTGGGGCGAGCGCTCCACAGCAACTCCCTGAGTCGTAGTTCCTCGCGCGCGCTCCCGAGGTGACAACGCGCCCGCGCGCTGTCCCTTTGCGTGCCCCCCCCCCCCCCCCCCCCACGTTGCAGCGCCGACGGCCGCTTCGAAGGCTCCATCGTCACCAAGGCGGTGGTGAAACACGACGGCCGGATCAAGTGGACGCCGCCGGCCATCTACAAGAGCTCGTGCACCATCGACGTCACATTCTTCCCCTTCGACCAGCAGAACTGCTCCATGAAGTTCGGCTCGTGGACGTACGACGGCACCCTCGTCGACCTCATCATGGTCAACAGCGACGTGGACCGCGGCGAGTACTTCGACAACGGCGAGTGGGAGTTCCTGAACGCCACGGGCAACAAGGGCGTGCGCCTCGACGGCCACCGCTTCTACCCGTACATCACGTACTCGTTCGTCATCCGCCGCCTGCCCCTCTTCTACACGCTCTTCCTCATCGTGCCGTGCCTGGGCCTCTCCTTCCTCACGGTCTTCGTCTTCTACCTGCCCTCCGACGAAGGCGAGAAGATCTCGCTGTGCACCTCCGTGCTCGTGTCCCTCACCGTCTTCCTGCTGGTCATCGAGGAAATCATCCCGTCCTCGTCCAAGGTGATTCCGCTCATCGGCGAGTACCTGCTCTTCATCATGATCTTCGTCACGCTCTCCATCATCATCACGGTGTTCGTCATCAACGTGCACCATCGCTCGTCGTCCACCCACCACCCGATGGCACCCTGGGTGCGCCAGCTCTTCCTTCACAAGCTGCCCAAGATCCTGTGCATGCGGAGTCACGTCGACCGCTACACGGCGCCGGACGAGGCGGACCGCGACCATCCGGGCCGCGCGGGCTGCGCCTGCCACGGCGGGGAGTCGCCGCCCAGCGCCTCCGAGCGCCTCATCCTCACGGCCATCGACTCGGTGCGCTACATCACGCGGCACATCAAGAAGGAGAACGAAGTCCGAGAGGTGAGTGGGTGGGTGGGTGAGTGGGTAGGTGGGTGGGTGGGTGGGCGAGTGGGTGAGTGGGTGGGTGGGTGAGTAGGTGGGTGGGTGGGTGAGTGAGTGGGTGAGTGGGTGGGTGGGCGAGTGAGTGGGTGGGTGGGTGAGTGGGTGGGTGGGTGGGTGAGTGGGTGGGTGGGTGAGTGAGTGGGTGAGTGAGTGGGTGAGGGGGTGGGTGGGTGAGTGGGTGGGTGGGTGGGCGAGTGAGTGGGTGGGTGAGTGGGTGGGTGAATGGGTGGGTAGGTGGGTGAGTGAGTGGGTGGGTGGGTGAACGGGTGGGTGGGTGAGAGAGTGGGTGGGTGGGTGAACGGGTGGGTGGATGATTGGGTGCGGTGAGCGAGTGCGTGTGGGACGTCTCGAGCCGAGAAGATCGCGGTAATGGCTCTCGTCGCTTGCCTGGGGATCGAATGTCGGGTGCCACCCGCATGCGGAGTGCGTCTGTATTTATTGATCTGTGTCTGTGTGTGTCTGTGTGTGTGCTTCACAGCCGGTATGAAGTGCGTGTATAGTGGGGCACCAATCCTTAGGAGGACAATACAAGAGACCAAATTTATCAATGACCAAAACAGAAGCATCGACATCGCGGATGGCCGGTTAAGTAGTCGTCAAATCACAGGTGGCCAATTAAAGAGCGGCTCAATGAAAGGCAGACAACTAAGAAGTCATCAACAACATGATTACGATCCATGGGCAGATGGCCCGTAGTCGGTGTCCACTGCACACTTTGTAATTTGTTTCCACTTTCCTCTCTGTCGTGTGCCAATATGCTCCAGTAGTGCCACATCTTTCTGGCACCAATCTCTATATGTCGTCAAGCGACTTCGTCAAGCCAACTACGAGTGGTCAAATCAAATGTGGCCTATTAAGAAGGGACCGAAGCAGGAGAGGCCACATCAATTGGTCAAATCGAGGGTGACCTTTTCAAATTTGTTACTAGAACAGGTGCCTAAATCATGAATGCCAAACACAGTGTTGGTCATTAAAGTCGCGGACGAATCACAGGCGATGTTAACCGAGACCAGAATGAGAAATGGCCAAAAGGCCTTGCATTTCCTCAGTTTGTCACTGGTATCAGCGTATGATTTTCTGAGGTGTGGATCACTCTGACACATACTACGCCGGCGGTGTCCTTGCACGGGACTCACTCGACCGCAGTCCCTACATACTTTACACACAAAGTGCTCGCCACAAATGAACCACAACGCCTTGCTGATCTCGTCAAGTAGCATAAACCACATCACGCGAACTCCGCTCATCCTCACAGCAGCAGCAGCGGCGGCTTTTGGCTGCTCGCCATCGAACAAAGGCGGCGGTCACCGCGTCGCGCGGCGCTTTCAGATGCGCTTCTGCGGCCGTCTGGAACGCTCTTCCTTCCGATACTAGGAAACCACTGGGGCTGAGCACTTTTAAATCGAACTATGTTGACAACTAATTTTTTTTTTTACAACTTATTTGTTGTGTTTAGTTTGTTGTTCTTCCCCCGCACCTCCGATTGGCACGGTCGGCTACGCACGGTGCGAAAGATGTTTAACATGCACACATACTGGGAGTGAGAATGCGGGCACCTGTGCATCGGTGTGCCCCTTTGGTTGCTACTCACGGATTCACATGTAGGCGAGTGTGCGTGTGTCCGTGTGGTTATGTGTGGGAGTTGCATTCTGCACTCATGGCTGCGTGTGCACAGAGGCGTTCACGCGTAGTCGTGTGCATGGATGCGTGTGGTTTGGGGGTTGTGCGTGTACACGTGTGCGTATGTATGTGTGTATGGGTGAGGAGCGGTAGTGCAACGGTTTGCGCGCTCCGCTACGAACCCGGCGACCCGAGTTCGATTCCTGCTTACGGCCAACACCGGTGACGATTATCTGAATCGGTCCTGGGCCTCCCCTGGTGTGGTGTGTAAACATCGCCACTGGGGAGACAAAGGCGGCCAGGCGTAGTGTTGGCCACACACCCCCTCGTGTGCCATGCCGGCCTTCATGGGTGCTACTCGCTAACAGCACTTGCCCCAACAGTCTGTTAAGGCTATGCGCGGGCTCTCTGTCTTGGTCTGTGTATGTGTGTGTGTGTGCTCCATCTATTATTTCCACTGCACGACAAGCCGCTCAGCGCAGCCTGCACCCCTGCACGCTAGGTGCGGCGCTGACGGTGCGTGTAAATGCAAGGTCAAACCTTGAGAATACAATTCAGGAGGGACAACGCAACCCGACACTCACAAGGGCATCTGTGTGGCTGTGCGGCTGTGTGGCTCTGCGACTAAGTGGCTGTGTGCGTGCATGAAGGCCTCGTTTCTCTGTTCCCTAAGACTCTGTGCTGCCCAGACAACCCAACTGGACCTGGGTCTTGTCGTTCCCTCCCCGCACCTCCGATTAGCACGGTTGGCTGCGTAATGTGCGAAAGATGTTCAACATACATACACACAGTCAGTCAGTCTGAATAAAGGTCCCCCAGGGAGTTATTGAACCACCTGATGGTTATGAATATGGCAAGTCTACGACTAGATGAAGGCCTTAACATAACCCAATGCTCACCATCAACGAACTCCACTGAGATGCCAGATCAAGATTGGCCACGTCAGTTGGAAACCAAATCAGAGTGGCTTAAGCCGAGGTCACCAAACTATTGGTGAAATCATCAGGGATCAAATCAGAATTTCAGCAATGTAGGCATAGTAGGTACATCACTGTCATAGTTATTGTACGGTGGGAAAGAAGTTCGACATACGTGTGTTTTTACGTGTAGCCCATTTTGGCAATCCACTGCTAGATGAAGGGTCTCCCCACCTCATACCAGTGTGGGGCTGGTGAAGGGATTGTCCAGGACCGGTTCAGATATCAGCCGCTGGGTTCGGAGCACGGTGCGAAAACCACCGCACCGCCACCCCACCCCCGGCCATCAACATCATGAACCACCATGGAACACTCACTCTATAGAACACTCACTTTATAGAACACTCACTTTATAGAACACTCACTTTATAGAACACTCACTTTATAGAACACTCACTTTATAGAACACTCACTTTATAGAACACTCACTTTATAGAACACTCACTTTATAGAACACTCACTTTATAGAACACTCACTTTATAGAACATTCACTTTATAGAACACTCACTTCATAGAACGCTCACTTTACAGAACACTCACTATATAGAACACTCACTTTATGGAACACCACTTTATAGAACACTCACTTTATAGAACACTACCTTTATAGAACACTCACTTTATAGAACATTCACTTTATAGAACACTCACTTTATAGAACATTCACTTTATAGAACATTCACTTTATAGAACACTCACTTCATAGAACACTCACTTTATAGAACATTCACTTTATAGAACACTCACTTTATATAACATTCACTTTATAGAACATTCACTTTATAGAACATTCACTTTATAGAACACTCACTTTATAGAACACTCACTTTATAGAACACTCACTTTATAGAACACTCACTTTATAGAACACTCACTTTATAGAACGCTCACTTTATAGAACACTCACTTTATAGAACATTCACTTTATAGAACACTCACTTTATAGAACACTCACTTTATAGCACACTCACTTTATAGAACATTCACTATATAGAACACTCACTTTATAGAACGTTCACTTTATAGAACACTCACTTTATATAACATTCACTTTATAGAACATTCACTTTATAGAACATTCACTTTATAGAACACTCACTTTATAGAACATTCACTATATAGAACACTCACTTTATAGAACGTTCACTTTATAGAACACTCACTTTATAGAATACTCACTTTATAGAACATTCACTTTATAGAACACTCACTTTATAGAACATTCACTTTATAGAACATTCACTTTATAGAACACTCACTTTATAGAACATTCACTTTATAGAACACTCACTTCATAGAACACTCACTTTATAGAACACTCACTTTATAGAACATTCACTTTATAGAACACTCACTTTATAGAACATTCACTTTATAGAACATTCACTTTATAGAACACTCACTTTATAGAACATTCACTTTATAGAACACTCACTTCATAGAACACTCACTTTATAGAACACTCACTTTATAGAACACTCACTTTATAGAACATTCACTTTATAGAACATTCACTTTATAGAACACTTACTTTATAGAACATTCACTTTATAGAACACTCACTTTATAGAACATTCACTTTATAGAACACTCACTTCATAGAACACTCACTTTATAGAACACTCACTTTATAGAACACTCACTTTATAGAACATTCACTTTATAGAATACTCACTTTATAGAACACTCACTTTATAGAACATTCACTTTATAGAACACTCACTTGATAGAACATTAACTTTGTAGGCCATTCACTTTATAGAACATTAACTTTATAGAACACTCACTTTATAGAATACTCACTTTATAGAACACTCACTTTATAGACCACTCACTTTATAGAACACTCACTTTATAGAACACTCACTTTATAGAACACTCACTTTATAGAACATTCACTTTATAGAACACTCACTTCATAGAACACTCACTTTATAGAACACTCACTTTATAGAACATTCACTTTATAGAACACTCACTTTATAGAACACTCACTTTATAGAACACTCACTTTATAGAACACTCACTTTATAGAACATTCACTTTATAGAACACTCACTTTATAGAACACTCACTTCATAGAACACTCACTTTATAAAACATTCACTTTATAGAACACTCACTTTATAGAACACTCACTTTATAGAACACTCACTTTATAGAATACTCACTTTATAGAGCACTCACGCTATCACCATTCTACATGGAGACGTGTTTAATTCCATGCAAAATTAATTAACCACTGCGCGATGCAAATACGTGACGTAAACATTGCAGATGGTGTGGACTCACGTACCGAGACACAATGCGATAGTCACCTACGCACATGTAAAGAGAGACGCACGTGTGAAGTGCGTGCACCTGCAACCTGTAGAGGGCGTGAAGAGAGCTCTTTTTTTGGGGTGGTGCCAATAGCCCCAGGGCCAGCGCATTCACCGCTGACTGCAGAGGTTTGCGGCGCCAATTCCGGCAGGCCGCCCTGGTTAATTCTGCAGGTGTATTAAGCTTAAAACACTATGTGCCGTCTGGTTAACGGTGGGCGTTCAAGACGCCATTCGAACGGAGTAGGCCATTGTGGGCTGGCGTCGTGGCCCCAATTTGTCAAGTTAAAATGTTTACCTGGAAACAACTAATCAGAATCAGAATATGTATTTATGCTGGAGGAATCCGATGAGCTATAAATCTCTTTTTCACAGATGTCCACAAAGCAACATTGCCCCCCGTGCAACCACTGCATACTGTGTCTGTGAGAGTTAGCGTCTTCCTTCGCGACGGAGAGCCCTTCGCCGCGGTGATTATGACGCGGACAAAACGTTTGTTCTCGATTTGCTATAATTGCCGTGGATTCTTTTAACCCTTGCACGCGTTTGCGCCCCGTGTGCTTTTGACTGAAGGTGGTTGAAGACTGGAAGTTCGTGGCTCAAGTCGTGGACAGAATATTACTGTGGACCTTCTTGTCGGTCTCGGTCTTCGGATCCATACTCATTTTCCTTCCGACAATCTACGCCTGGCGCAGCTTTGACTTCTAAGCGTCAACTTCACCGAAATCCCCTGCGCCTAAATAATAATAATAATTATATTTGCAACCGTAAGAAGACACGTTTTTTTGTCTTGCCTTAACTGGATGGAGATTTTGTCCGATTCACCTGTTAGTTCGTAACGCGCAAGCACACACACACACAAACACACGTGACACGTTTGGCTGATCCTTTTATATTGTCTCATCCACCGTTAGCCTAATGCTACTTTATCCAGCAGCTCTTGTTCGTACTGTTGGAGAGTACGGGAACAAAAAACGCAACTGTGGTTACCTGCGCTAAAGAAGTTAACGTTACGTAGAGAAAACTAGAAAACTATTTAATGCATGCTTTTCAGCATGAACGTTTCATGAATTACCGTAAAAGCACAACTCCTAACGGCGCAGCTTTGTATATATATAAAAAAAAACGTTTGCCATAATAAGACTTTGCCAATACGGCAAAAACAGACGCACGGTTCGCGGCAGGAGGCAGCCTGTAATTGTTCTTATCAGCCGTTATCCCTGTGTGTCTCTTCCCGGGCTGGTCGTGGTCACCTCTCACCCACCAAAGTAACCTGCAACACTTATACACCCTTCTCCCTGTGTGACCCCCACACGCCACTGTGACCCCACGTGACACCATGGTCTGCGATGGGCATTTTCACTCTGCCACAACGGATCGCTGTCGCTGTTCCCAGAATGACTTGTACAATATCTCACACGTCGGATTCATCGGAGTGTCTAAACGCTTTTCAAAAGACACGCACACAACAACGGGACAACGAGATTGGAGCATCCAGGTGAAGGGAGGCATGCTGGTTTATTTATTTAATGAAATTAAAAAAAGAGACAGAGGCAAGCAAAGCGGAGGAAAAGAGAACGGTCCCAGAGCCTGGACTTGAATAGGGGCAGAGAGTTGACAGCACGGATGGCTGGGGGAAGCGAGTTTGAGATGACTTGCTCAGCAGGGGAGAATGAGCGGTGGACGACTGAAGCCTTTGGCAGAACGTCGCAGGTTTCTGGAGTGTAGAGTGCGTGGAGACGAGTCGAGTGAGACGAGAGGGGAGAGGTAGGAGAGTGCGTGGAGACGAGTCGAGTGAGACGAGAGGGGAGAGGTTGGAGAGTGCGTGGAGGGGAGTAGAGTGAGATGAGAGGGGTACGTTCCACACACTTGAAATGACGTAAAGAATAGGCTTTGCCAGTTATGGCAATGCAACAGGTGTTAAGATGTTAAAACACCAAACATAAACCTTTTTGCAAGGAACCATGTCTGCGTTTATTACAGATACGTGTGGCAAGGGAGGTCCCATGCTGTAGCTGCTCACCCCGAGCTCTCAATGTCCTGATAGTGGCATTGTCTTGGTGCTGTTCGCCTTTTGTCGTCCTCTGGTCTAACACTGTTTGAGACGAGGCTCTAAAGAAAGCTGTCTCTGGTGTGGACCAATCAGTTGCAAAGACAATGCATCGTATACTATGAGAGCATGTTTTTTTGTTTGCATGTTCACCACAAGTATATTTCGTTAATGCAGACATGCATGATTCCTTGCAAAAAGTAGTCGGTTTAGTGATTTGACATCTTAACACAACTGTTTTATTGCCAGAAAGCGGAAACACATATGCTTATATAGGAATAGGCTTTACCCTTTTAACTGGCACAAAAACTGACACCTTTATTCAAGGCATCATGTTTGCAATAACCACAACACAAGCAGTCAAAATGTAAACAAAAAAGACAACTCTGATAATAATATGCACTGACCTTGAATTTGATTGGTCCACACCCGAGACAGCTTTTATTATCAGAGTTGTCTTTTTTGTTTGCATTTTGACTGCTTGTGTTGTGGTTATTGCAAACATGATGCCTTGAATAAAGGTGTCAGTTTTTGTGCCAGTTAAAAGGGTAAAACCTATTCCTATATCTTGTTTCTGGCAAAGGAGGTCTCATAACATATGCTTATATTTTGTTACTTGCAAGGCAGGTCCCATGATGTCGAAATAACGTTTTTACTGATTGAGCACTTTTTTTTCTTCCGATGACGAGTACTTTCGTTTCGTTCAGACTAGCTGTAGGTTGTAAGAACCAATGCAAGGTGAGACCACGTCAGGGCGGGATGGTGAGAGTGGGTGATGGTCGCCGGTGCTCCGCAATTAATATTCACTCGTTTTAAACGCCCGTGTTTAGATTACCAGACAATTGTTTTGACTTTGCTCCGTGATACAGAAAATATCCTCTTTGTTACGAGTGGTGATAACATGTACTCGGTTAAAATCTACGAAGTTGTGATTGAAATGTCCACCAAAGTGATTGATCGACTGATTGTTGTCGACCCCCCCCCGTCATATCGTGGAAGTGTTTTATGCAATTGTCGCCTTCTTCCAGAAACCAAGAGACTTACCCACTCGTGAGCATGTATGGATTCACCCCTTCGCCATTCAACGCGTAGTCACGATTGGTAATCGCGATTCGTTTTAAAATTTGAATTTTTTTTCCCCTTTGCCACGGTGGCGCATGTGTTCCCTCCGGCATTCGTGAGAACCAATTAAACACGCGGCAATGATGCATTGCAAATAATCGAGTCTCAAACACACGTGATTCAGTGCCTGTATCGTGAGCGTGAGAATGAAAGTCGGATTGACGAATCGATGAATCGTTGCGTGCCTACTGACTTAACCACCGATGGGTTCTCTGGTATCAGGACACAACTTTGATTGTTGTTGCTTAGGCTTCGAAATTGCTTTACAAGCAATGTAATCTTCCACTGTGAATGACACCAATGATATATACTTACTATAAAGGGTGCTGTATATTCTTAATGTTAAGGTCATGCGTTTGCGAATGATGACCATTACTGATTCATTTTACAGCACCTTGTCATTCTACCGTCGGATGAAGACCTTCCCCTGTCATGTCGGTCATTGGGAGTTGTTTGACCATACTTCACCACGCTGGTGAATGTGGGTTGGTGAAGGAGGTGTGAAGATTGATCTGGGTATCACTCGCCACTAGAAGCTTGGTGGCTGTGACCAGGAATCGAATTGTGGTCGGTGGGTTGAGCGCACGGTGTGTGTCAACCACGGTGCCACTGCTGCACCTCTAGACAAATATCATCATCCTCAGCAGCAACAAAAAAATAATTATCTCCACTCAGGCACCGAATTTGAGCTGAGCTATTCGATTATTGAATTCATCAATAACTCTTCCGTTATGAATTTGATTACTCGCTTTGATTGTATGTTTTACCCGTGGTCACGTGGATTTTTTATCCGGATCCTCTGTTTCCCCCCCCCCCCCCTGACGTGCGTTTCGATTATTTTACTGCTATCAATTCCCACGTGATAAGCCATTTCGTTGAGCTATCATTTGTGGCCAGGTCGCTCTCCTCAAAAATAGCTACATTGCTCAGCGGCTCTTAGCTGGTAAAATAAAAAAAAATATATAGTTTCGTTTAACTCAATCGGATAACACAAAAGAGAAAAAAAAGTATCACCTCTGTTCCCGCTTGTGCCATTGGCCGGAAGGTGAATTGGAGGACTACTATAACGTGATCGGCATTATCAGCTGCGTCACGCTGGGCATGCCTGCAGAGGGGACTTTCCCACCTTCAAGAGGCAGGGTTTTGGTGCAGCTGCCGTTTCAAAGGGGCCTAAGTCATCAGCCAAAAAGTAGTCGATTATAATTAATAATAATAAAGGGTTTTTTTGGGTTATATCGCATACGTACATATGTGTCGTAACCCTCCACCACCGGACACAGCCAGTAAGGTTTGTCACGTAAACGCAACGCACCATATAAATGTCGTGGATTTACTCTCCAACACACCGGTGGGCTGAAGTCGTTAACTCATTGGCGCGTTTTGTTTACGTGACAAACCTTACCATGTTGGCTGTGTCGGGTGGTGGAGGGTTACGACACATTTATATTTAAGCGATCTAACCCAAAAAAAACCTTTATTATGCGTAATATTGGTCGCGAAAACTTAGGTGTTAAACGATTATAATTTGTATAGATTAATTGACCATCTGTTCCACTTCCGCATCGCACCTCTTTTTACAGAGGAGATGGACGCAAAGGCGAGAGACACCGGCACGAGGCAAACGCGAGCCTAGCGCACGACAACAAAGCAGTACAATTGAGAGAAGAAATAAAACACAATAAAGCACACAACAAAGACGTTTAAAAGCATTCGACGCATAGAGCACGGCATGCAGAGTACAACACAAGATGAGAATATAACTGCCTACGAAAAGCGGAGAACAGATACACCTCTGTGTTGTTTGACAATGTCAAACTCAAATCACGAGCGATTTCGTCGGCAACTTTGAAGAGTTACGATTGAAAAAGGTTCCGAACAGAGGATGGGACTGCGTGATGGCCCCACCGTAGATGGGCTGCGCTGATGTTGCTTCGGGTTTTTGTTTTTAAAGTGAGAACCGCATGCACGATTTTTTGCATGATCCCTCAAAGGATCTGTACCCAAACCCTTGGCACCTCAGCCGGCTAATAACATACAGGAATTGTGCATTGGTTGGCAAAAAAAAATCACGAATTTATACTACGGTATGACGATGACTGATTGCAATGGTAATTAACGATTGCATGGCATGTAAAAGCAGCGCATCGTTTTAATTGCACCAGAGAATTGCCCAATACAAAATGTGTTGCTTTCAAAACGAATCGGAGTGCTGTAGGAGAAAAACTAAATATGTGCGCGTAATCGCTGTCAAGTTTCGCTTACGCAGACCACTCGCTCGCGCACAAATCCCTCGGCGGGGGTCTCATTTTTATCGGCTCGTGCGACGATGTCCGACGTTTCGCTCCACGTGCCGTGAGATTTGTTTTTTTTTTCTTCTTCCCAATGAAACTGAATGGTGTGCATTGAAGCTTCCGGCACGTGGAGCAGACGTCAGCCCAATCCTGTTCCCGAAGAAGTGCCCACAGCACGTGTGTGTATGTGTGTGCTGAACTTCTTACGCACCGCACGCAGCCAACCGTGCTCATAGAAATGGGGGACGTCATGCCCCAAACCACATGCGGTGTACAGCCCAAAACACACATCGGAGAATTCTACAACACGACCCCGTGCACACCTCACGCTGCCGTTCCACTCACTCGCCTTTTGCGATTGAGGCGTTTGTGGCAGTTTAAAGAAGAAACCAGAATCTCAATGTATTTACTTCACACAGGCGACAGCCCGGCTCTCGTATTGCGGGCGGAGAGAATGGATTTGATTGTGGTCAGGGGAAAGAGGCGGATGCAGCTTTGGAAGTTCACTCATCGCACGCAATTAACACGGGAGCTTTATCCCTGGGTTCTGCAGATGAGCTGTCTTTGAAAAGAATGTCGCAGAGCAGCGGATGAGGTTTAGAGAGCACAGGCTCTCCGGTTCATACACACACACATGCACGTATAAGTATTAATGTATAACAAAAAAAAGTTTGCCTGTAAATTTCACGGTTCATCTCACCCTTGAGCCTTCAGAACATTGCCCCTCATTAATTTTACAGCTCAATAGGACATCTCATTTCCTGAAACGAGCGCTGTTTCCCTAAACAGCATTACGTCAGCTTCACATTAACAAGACTAACCAGCCCTCTTCCAAGACGTGTCGCCAGAATGGAAGGGTACGTCGAAAAATGTCCTCCATATACGGGGGGCTCTCTCGAGCTTCCACACCAATGAGAGAGACACCACCCGGCAGTAGGGGGCCGTCCATAAATGACGTCACGCGATTTTGGACGATTTTTGACCCCCCCTCCCTAGTCACACGGCGTCACATAGTCAGACCCCCCCCCTCAAATATGACGTCACAAAGCTCTGCCCCCCCCCCCAAAAAAAAT